CGAGCAAGACGAGCGAGCGCCCCCAAGTCACGTTAGACACCTACCGAACAGTCGATGTGACTCAAAGGAACCACGTCTCCATACAATTAAATCCAAGTGGGATCGCACCCAATTGCAAGCAGCAAACAAGTTTAGTGCTAGTAAAACTTCAGCGCGCATCAATATGAGAAGAAACACGGACCATCAGGTCCAACACAATCTGGGACAATGCAGGTGACCTCCCACGGATAGTCGCATTGAAGACCCAAGTTTTGGTCGCGCTCCCTAACCTAGCAGTTGAATCTGAGGGATCATACTGAGGTGCCTCCAAAAGCACCATTTCTTGCAATATATCCTGTCAAGTGTATGGGTGGCAGTCACAGCGATCTTGTCCTAAAAGACGGACCACATCACAAAACAAAACTCGTGTTTCAGGTCCAACGTTAAAAAAACATGATCATTTGCTTAGTTTATGAGACCCAATTAGAGTTATTTGGGAAAACACTTGACGCCTTAGGAAAGTACGCATCTAAAATCACGAGTTGGAAAGTCCCGAGCATATGAACACTAGCTGATTATCCAGGGAAAATTCTGGCTACCTTATACTAGCAGAAACAAACCCATGTATTTGGTGGCGCGATCACAGTAGTCGCACAGAGGTGCACGAAGGCGTACTCGAGGTGCATGAAAGCATACTTGTTAAGTGATTACGCCGTAACAGTTCGAAACCCAAAACAGACTTTGTCATCTGTAATGAATTTGCCCTCCATATAGGAACGCGTTACTTAAGAAGAGTCAAGTCGCCCTTTAGAGAAAAACAGGCCGGGTTGGTACCATTGTTGAGTAACGGTAGGCATGGATATTCTCGTGCTGTCCCCTTCACAATGATTAGTAAATCGCCCCCGAAAAGATTCATAACAGAACACCGTAAGCCAGCACGTGAAACGACGGGATTAGGAACGATAGCAATAAACCGGCACAATGGAGAGAAGTTCGGCGTCAGAGGAAATGTCAAAATAGCATCAAAAGAGGGGGTTGGGGGAAGTATACTCTCCAATAATAGGTACAAATCACACGGGTTCCACGGAATTGCGGTTGAGTAGCGGGTTAGGTTAAAATTATCTCCATGTCGGGACAACCTTGACTCCAAACTTCTGACCAATTCTGCTTGCGTAGCTTTTGGATGGTGGTATCCAAGATGCTACGGCTCGCCGGATCAATTCCATCTACACAGAGCTGTTGAGAGAAATAGAGTATGAGAGAAACTTTGAGCAGTGGTACTCCATGAGCGTAAAATTCAGTAACACAATTTAGGTTAACTAAAGTCTGTCGCTGAGCGTACCAGCTAAGTAAGGAGTGCAAAGGTGTCCAGTTGGGAAAAAGAACATATTTGGTGCTCGGAAACTTTTACAGTGAGTTTTTAAGGAGAAAACAGAGAACCGGGAACTGTCTGTTTGGTATAAATATTCTCCAATTGAGTCTTCCTAGAGGAGAACACGCCGTAAGAGAGAACAATCGGCCAAAACAACATGGTGCAAAAGACGTCCGTTTAGGATTACTTTGGTTACCCATATCGTTTAAATCGCGACCAATAGCTGTAACCTTGATGTGGCACTGAGGGTTGTAAAGAGTCCTCGAGGTTAAAGAAAATCAGGAAGGCCAAAGGAGGCCAACGAGATAAAGATTTGCGGGAGTTAGTACTGCTAGAAATTTTAATACGAAGCAGCCGTACATCATTATGATCATCGTCGACAGCAACAACTGGCCCTTCCCTTTCGCACAACCATATCAATTTATTTGAGTAGAGACTTGGAAATAAAAAAGTGGGAGAGGTGAGGCCTAAGACTGGCCTGTTACACATGACTAAGACAACTGTGCTTCATGCCTCAAACTGGGCTAATCCTCCACAGACATCCGATTTTTCAGCCAAATACCCCAAACGCGAAACCTATCCGTTATCTCTGCATACCCTCTAGCAAACTGCGGCATGGTAAAGAGGAGTCTTAGTGGAAGATCTGGCGTAGACGCTCCCAAAACCGACGGTGGATACTAACCCTATAACTATGCAATGATCACCGTCTATTCATCGCAAGCACAAACGTGAAGATAGCTTTGCTTGGCGCTTCCTCAACGGTAACCTACCAAGCGGTCAGACTGACTGGCGATCTTGTGTTCAGGACTGTCGTTGCTTTGGATTCGAGCCAATTTTACAGCTCATTTATCAGTGACTAAGAATATTCACTGCCTGTAAGATGCGGTAGTGAAATAAGCGTATCAGCAGCAACTGTCTACACAACTAACAAACGTGAAATAAACCGATCAGCCGAATGGAGACTGGACCGAAATCCAAAATGCTACGAATCCGGTGTTTGACCGTGTGCGTCTCAAAAGGAGACAAAAGCTCACGGATTTCATCGCCATCCACGTCTTCGATCGAGGTAAAGGATGCGGCCCAAACAATAAAAATGATAGGGTTCAGCAATATACCTGAAGCGACGCCTGATTCACTGTTTCGAGACTGACAGAAGTGTAAGAAATGTAAACGACGATTAGAAATAACGCAAAGGTTTAGAGTATGCGGAATACATTGTACTGTTCGGTTGGAATTCCATCCAGAGACATAATACCCTAAATAGTCTAAATAATGCTATTGTAGAATGTGATAAATGGTTAGCACCTTCAGAATAAAAATACCATCATCAGAGACAACAACATCAGTGTTGATACGAGTACTTCGCTGCCGTACAACCACAATGTTTATCTGATTATATTTAGAGGTTCAGGGTGAAAGAAAGAGAAACGCGTGGGAGAGGGTGGGAATTCGGTGCTGGTCTATCGCAAAAATTTTGAGCTGCATACATCTTCAATCAAAATTATGAAAAGAAACTGACGGAACGAACTCCACTGACTGAGATTATCCGTCATCACTTGCAATGCCTCCAACTAAGCGTGCAAGGGCTAATGGGGACCCCATTCTGGAAGGTGGACTAACACCCAAACTCTTCGCAACCTCTTTCACGTCCTTCCACCAAGTCATACGTTGTCCACTTTGCAGTTTCCGCTATTGTGAAGGAGGCGCAGAGAATTACACTCGTCAAGGTAGACGCTATTACGGAATGCATAGAACATGGCTGAGCCATCATAGACACTTTTGAGGCGTCGGTGGCAAAAAACCTGAAGGCGCCTCAGATCGTCTGTCGGCAAAGGCTACGTCTCGCAACCGTACAACGAAACGGCCCTTACTGTAGCCTATGCATGTGATTCTTGAGACCCATTAATATGCCTTTTTGATGCCACAAATGAAGCAAACTAGCAAACGTGATTGGGATCTCTGAGATTCGTGCACTGACTTCATCGGACACAATTCCCTTACAGCTCTTAAAATTACCGAGCTATTCTCCACAACCTTCAGTGGCTCTCCCTGAATCATAAGGGTTATGCGCATAAACTTCACGTAATGAAGCATGACTTTGCACTTTGAATGTGCAAGGCTCATGCTGAAAGATGGTATAATGGAAGTCAGTTGATTCAAGAGTTCATGCCTCGCCTCCGTCTTCAGAGATGAGGATGATGTCCACTGTGTACTCCAGATAAACAGGATTCCCAATGGAATACCAAAGCTTTGAAGATCTTCCAGCGTCCGCCTTAATGTTTCATCGACGACGAAGCTGAACAAGGATGGGGAAAGTGGAGATCCTTGTTGGACATCAGTTCTTATATGAAAGCTTTTGGAAAGCTCACCACATACAAATCTAGAATTATGTGTAAATAGGGACCGGATTGTGTTCCCAAATTTTCTCAGCAAACCCAGTTGATCACCATCATCAAGGACAGTAACATCAGTGTTGCGTGTAAATAGGGATTGTGTTCCCAAATTTTCTCAGCAAACCCAGTTGATCACCATCATCAAGGACAGTAACATCAGTGTTGCCACTGATGTGATGCTGCCGTACAACCATAAAGTTCGTTTAGTTATATATATAAATATATATATATATATACAAATGATTACACCAGCTCCAAGGAGGATATCCTTGTATTAATTCAGCCAATGTGGCTGAAAAGCGACTGGAACTGTGAAGGACGTCATCCACTACATATGCTAAAGTTTATCTTGGTCCGTCGGTTGGCAGC